TGGAGGGGTGTCTGGGCAGAGGAAGGTACAGAGCTTGGGAAGCACACCCCTGTAATCCAGGGAAGGATGTCTGGGCAGAGGAAGGTGCAGAGCTCGGGAAGCACACCCCTGTAATCCAGGGAGGGATGTCTGGGCAGAGGAAGGTGCAGAGCTCGGGAAGCACACCCCTGTAATCCAGGGAGGGGTGTCTGGGCAGAGGAAGGTACAGAGCTGGGGAAGCACACACCCCTGTAATCCAGGGAGGGATGTCTGGGCAGAGGAAGGTGCAGAGCTCGGGAAGCACACACCCCTGTAATCCAGGGAGGGGTGTCTGGGCAGAGGAAGGTGCAGAGCTCGGGAAGCACACCCCTGTAATCCAGGGAGGGGTGTCTGGGCAGAGGAAGGTGCAGAGCTCGGGAAGCACACCCCTGTAATCCAGGGAGGGGTGTCTGGGCAGAGGAAGGTGCAGAGCTGGGGAAGCACACCCCTGTAATCCAGGGAGGGGTGTCTGGGCAGAGGAAGGTGCAGAGCTCGGGAAGCACACACCCCTGTAATCCAGGGAGGGGTGTCTGGGCAGAGGAAGGTGCAGAGCTCGGGAAGCACACCCCTGTAATCCAGGGAGGGGTGTCTGGGCAGAGGAAGGTGCAGAGCTGGGGAAGCACACACCCCTGTAATCCAGGGAGGGGTGTCTGGGCAGAGGAAGGTGCAGAGCTCGGGAAGCACACACCCCTGTAATCCAGGGAGGGGTGTCTGGGCAGAGGAAGGTGCAGAGCTGGGGAAGCACACACCCCTGTAATCCAGGGAGGGGTGTCTGGGCAGGGGAAGGTGCAGAGCTCGGGAAGCACACCCCTGTAATCCAGGGAGGGGTGTCTGGGCAGAGGAAGGTGCACGAGGAGACAGGACCCCGCTCTCTTTAGCTGAGGATGTCGTAAACCCTGGCAGCTGCTGCTTCTCTGACCTCTCAGCTTTCCCCTGGTACCTGCTCGGGGTTTTCCATTAAAAGACCATCTAGATTCCAACAACAACTCGGAAAGGCCGAGAAGATGGGGCCACTCACCATCGGGATGCGGCTGCGCTTGAGCACAGACCGCAGGCGACGGCTGATGCGCCGGAAACACTCATGAGGTGTGAAGGCGGGGTCCTCTGTGAAGGTGCAAGGGGCGGGGCCAGGTGAGCCCGGGCCCCGCCCCCAGCCGGGCCCCACCCCCGCCAGGCCCCGCCCCCACCCGGGCCCCACCTCCCCGCCGGTCCTCCCCACAGCCAGGCCCCGCCCCCACCGGGCCCCACCTCTCCGCCGGCCCTCCCCACGACCAGGCCCCGCCCCCAGCCGGGCCCCACCTCTCCGCCGGCCCTCCCCACGACCAGGCCCCGCCCCCAGCCGGGCCCCACCTCTCCGCCGGTCCTCCCCACGGCCAGGCCCCGCCCCCAGCTGGGCCCCACCTCTCCGCCGGTCCTCCCCACAGCCGGGCCCCGCCCCCGCCAGGCCCCGCCCCCAGCCGGGCCCCACCTCTCCGCCGGTCCTCCCCACGGCCAGGCCCCGCCCCCAGCCGGGCCCCACCTCCCCGCCGGTCCTCCCCACGGCCAGGCCCCACCCACCCAGGCCCCGCCCCCAGCCGGGCCCCACCTCTCCGCCGGTCCTCCCCACGGCCAGGCCCGCGCCTCCTCTTGCCCTGACCCTCATCCTCCAGGTAGCGGAGCACTCGCTCTTGCTCCTCTCCTGAGCGGTTCATAAAATCATTCCAGACCTGGAAGACAGGGCGCAGGCTAGCCCCGAGGCCCCCGGGTCCGCCTCCGCACTGGACACACGGGCGCACAGGAGCCCACCCGCGAATGTCCCTCCCGCTCGGGTGGGGCCCGAGGGGGTACACAGGAGCTCAGCAGGCACGGCCACCGCCGCCGGGCCGCCGGGTCCCCCAGTCCGACAGGGAGGGCGGGCACGCCCCGGGCTGCGCGGGCCCGCGTCTCACCTCCACGTAGGTGGCATTGCTGCAGGCCTCTGCGAAGATGCCCGGCGCCGCGGGCGGAGTCCCGTCCCCGTCTTCCGGGCCTGGCGGACCCCCAGCCGTCTCCAGCAGTGTGAGGAGGTACCGGGCTGAAGGGACCGAGGGTCCGTGGGCTGAGGCGGGGTCTGGGGTCCCCACTCACCCCCACTGTCTTCCTTTTTACCCAGCCGGTCTCCAGCACCCCATCTTGCTCTCCTTGCCTTACCGAACTCCTAGGCAACCCTCTGAAGCCCTTACTCCGATGCCTGGCCAGTGGGCGACCCCAGCAAGGGAAGCCTAAGGCCGACACACGCCCGGCTCCCCGCTTACTGTTCTCCAAGCGCTGCAGACTCTTCCGTCCCTTGGCTTTGGGCACCAGGTCCGAGTTCCGCACGGCCTGGTTGATAAAATGTTGCTTGCGCCTGGAGGCCGAGACCCTCTTCACCTGTGAGCCGCCGAGCGTGGGCAGGCAGCCGGGGAGGGGCCTGCGGGCCAGGGGAGGGGGCGTCAGGGCCCAGGCGGGCCTGCTCGGTGTCCCCTCCCCACCCCAGGCCCCCGTGCGTCGGGACCTGGCCCCATGGAATCCAGGACACGGGTTACTATGCAAGAGGGGTAAACTGAGGCTCCGAGAAGGGAAGGCCCGAGCCCCAGGCACACAGAGCGGCGGTGGCCCCTTCCACCCCCCCCAGAAGTGGACCCTTTCCCCCTCGCCCTGTAAACCAGGGAAGAGGCGCAGGGTCTCCAGGTGACAGGCAGGGGTGAGGGAGGCCATGCCGCCCCCTCTGCCCCCCGCCCACCCCCAGAGCTCACTCTTGAAGATGGAGCTAATCCTGGGAAGGGATGAGCCTGGCACCCAGCAGTCAGCCCAGCCCTCAGCAGGGCCAGAGCCACAGGGAGACAGGGGGGCGGGAGGACCACCGGGAGGACCATCAGACAGGGTGGCAGGCTCAGCCTGGGGCGCATGCATCCCGGGGGGCCTTGCAGGGCTGGAGCCCGCAGCTTCAGCTCTGGTGGGGTCCCCACCGCCGGGCCTCCAGCGGCTGCAGCGCAGGGGTCCCTGGGGACTGGGGGGGACGCCCGCCTGGGTCCCCCCAGCAGGGTGAGCCCACCCTCCGGCGGAGGGACCGCCAGCTACCAACTCCCTACCGGCCCCGGGGGGGCCTGATGTGGACTCTGAGGTCTGAGGCCGGGCCACTTCGGCCCTGGCTTCACCCCCGGGCCTTGACAGCCGCACCCCGGCAGCTGGCGCAGGCTGATAACAAACCGCGGCTGTCCTGCAGGAAGGAGGGACGGACTGACGCGGCGGCGCACGCACGGACAGAAGGACGGACGGACGGACGTGAACCTGGGTCCCGCTCGGGCAAGGCCCCCATGCTCTCGGCCTGCAGCTGGGGTCAGTGCTCAGTTCTAAGGGCCGTGGGGACATCCCCGCCTCTTGCGGGCCCCAAGGGCTCCCGGGGACAGAAGGGTCCCCCGGACTCAAACTTGCGAAGCCTGCAAGCCTTGGCCTCCCCTGGTTCCGCCTGACTCTGGTTTGCGTCCAGATGCCACCTCCCAGGCGGCGGCCAGGCCGGTCCAATGAGCAGACGCCCCTGGAGCCCTCACGGCACCCCTGTCCAGCAGGCAGCCCACAAGCCACAGGACGGACTGAACCAACTGAACCCCTGCAGTTTGTGGAGCGAAGATTCCTTCCCCATAACCCGGCCACGTCACAGAAACTGGGGCTGAGGGCCCAGAGTGTCTGACGCCTCAGAGTGTGACCAGGACCTGGGAGGGTGGCCAGGGCACAGGGCAGGGGCGCAAGTCAGCAAGTCAGCGGGGTTTGGGGAACACAGCCTTTTTTGCATGCTGCTGGTTGGGCAATGGGACTGGCTGGCCTAGACACACCCCGGCACAGCACACCTCCTTTGGCTAACGCTCCCGGAAGGAACGGCAGAGAACCCGGTTCCCCAACAGGAAGCAGGGCGGAGGTGACTCAGCGCCCGCCCCCAACACCCAGCAGGCAGGTGGACACCTGGGTGAGGCCCTGATGGGAAGTAATTCACCAAAACATAGACTTATTTACACCAGAGCCACAGTAAGGTAGCTAGGCGCGGTCCCAGAAGGCTGAGGCAGGGAAGGATCAGGAGCCGAAGGTCATCCTCGGCTGCACAGAGGGCCTGAGGCCAGCCTGGGCTACGCAGGGCCCTGAGTCAAACAAACAAAACAGAACAAGGCCTGGAGAGACGCTGCTCAGCGGCGAGCTCAGCGGTTAGCGCACCGGCTGCCCCTGCGGAGGACCCACATGGGGCTCACAACCGCCCGGGACTCCAGTTCTGGGTACCCGACGCCCCCTTACGGCCTCCGCGGGTACTGCACACATGGCGTGCGTATATACATACACTGTGTGCACACAAAATGCCCACACATGTAAAAACATGTTTTAAAAAAATAAAATAAATCCAACAGGCCAAGGTGGAACCAAACAGGACCCCGGATTGCTGGACCCCACGGGAGCAGAGCGTTTTAGACTATGGATTAGCCTATAGAAAAATGTCTGCCGTAAATCAGTGAAGGGAAGATGGATAGGAATCTCACCTACACAACTTAATAAAACAGCTCTCTGAACAGATGAAAATAGGTCTCTTCTGTGTCCCGGAATCTAATCAACATTTATATATATAATCCAGCTATTATTTGGCTCAAAAGGGCTTTTTGGGAAAAGTTATCATTTATACTATTTTCTACTGAGAAAATATCTTACTGTTTAAAATAACCCTGGATTTTTAAATTATAGCCTGTTTTTATATTCAAGCTGTCTGTGTATTTCTCCTGCAGTTATACATAAACTGTTTTTACATTAAAAAAAGGACAAACACTATAGAATTGTATTACATGAAATATATAGAATATACAAATTCATAGAGACAGAAAGATTAGATGTTATCTCAAGCTGGAGAAGAAAGGAATATAGAGCTATGATTTCCTGAGTACAGAATCTGTTGTGTGTGATGGAAAAGCCCCACAAATGGACAGCAGTATCAGGACATAATATCATGAGTGCAAATCAATACAGTTAATGTAATTAATATCATAAATATAGTTATTGAATGAATAAAAAAATAAAGTAAATCCAACAGGCAAGGGTGGAATCAAACAGGACCCCAGATTGCTGGACCCCACGGGAGCAAGCTTTGTGGGTCCCAACCCGACCTGTGTCGTCCCCCTCTCCTTCCCCACGACTCAGAAGAGGGGCCTCTGTCCACACATTCACAGACAGGGGAAACCAAGGCACAGAAAGGCTCAGCGGCCTAGCGGGAGGCCAAGCCAGCTCTCGTCACACAGGGCCCGGGGTCAGAGGACCCGGATTCCTGAGTACCCACATAAGCCAGGGTGCCACACCCGCTGCTCCAGGCTAGACCACTTCCCACAGACACAGTGATCACTGCCAGAGCAGCGGAGGGGACGGGGACCCTCAGAGGGTGGCGGGCAGCGGTGGCACTCCAGGGCCATTCCACCTCAGCCACCGGCACGAAGGGAGGGACCGGGAAAATGCCCAGGCGCCTGTGGGCCATAGAGCGGGTCCCCATAGAGCGGGTCCCCATAGAGCGGGGTCGCATAGAGTGGGGTCCCATAGAGTGGGGTCCCAGAGTGGGGGTCCCATAGAGTGGGGTCCCATAGAGTGGGAGTCCCCATAGAGCGGGGGTCCCATAGAGTGGGGTCCCATAGAGTGGGGGTCCCATAGAGTGGGAGTCCCCATAGAGTGGGGGTCCCATAGAGTGGGAGTCCCCATAGAGCGGGGGTCCCATAGAGTGGGTCCCCATAGAGCAGGGGTCCCATAGAGTGGGTCCCCATAGAGTGGGAGTCCCCATAGAGCGGGGTCCTCATAGAGCGGGTCCCCATAGAGTGGGAGTCCCCATAGAGTGGGTCCCCATAGAGTGGGGATCCCATAGAGTGGGGGTCCCCATAGAGTGGGGGTCCCCATAGAGTGGGTCCCATAGAGCGGGTCCCATAGAGTGGGGGTCCCCATAGAGTGGGTCCCATAGAGCGGGTCCCATAGAGTGGAAGTCCCATAGAGCGGGTCCCCATAGAGTGGGGGTCCCCATAGAGCGGGTCCCCATAGAGCGGGTCCCATAGAGTGGGGGTCCCATAGAGCGGGTCCCCATAGAGTGGGGTCCCATAGAGCGGGGTCGCATAGAGTGGGGTCCCATAGAGTGGGTCCCATAGAGTGGGGTCCCATAGAGTGGGTCCCATAGAGTGGGGTCCCATAGAGCGGGGTCGCATAGAGTGGGGTCCCATAGAGCGGGTCCCCATAGAGCGGGTCCCCATAGAGTGGGTCCCATAGAGCGGGTCCCCATAGAGTGGGGTCCCATAGAGCGGGGTCGCATAGAGTGGGGTCCCATAGAGTGGGTCCCATAGAGTGGGGGTCCCCATAGAGGGGGTCCCCATAGAGTGGGTCCCCATAGAGCGGGTCCCCATAGAGCGGGTCCCATAGAGCGGGTCCCCATAGAGCAGAGGTGGGGATGGGTGTGGTCTGTGGTGAGCAGCCAGAGAAAGGGGTGTGGGTGGAGAGAGAACACATCCATAGGGGTGGGGGGGTGGAGGAAGACAAGAGGAGGGACCAGAGGAGGAGACCCCGGGGGTGGGGGGGGGGAGACAGACGGGACACGACGACTCCAGGCTGGGGAGGAGGAGGAGGAGGAGGAGGAGGAGGAGGAGGAGGAGGAGACCCCAGCCCGGGGAGGAGGAGGAGGAAGAGGAGACCCCAGGCTGGGGAGGAGGAGGAGGAGGAGGAGGAGGAGGAGGAGGAGGAGGAGGAGGAAGAGGAGACCCTAGGCTGGGGAGGAGGAGGAGGAGGAGACCCCAGCGGGGGTGGGGGTGGGGGGGGAGACGGACTGGACACGACGACTCCAGGCTGGGGAGGAGGAGGAGAAGGAGAACCCAGGCTGGGGAGGAGGAAGAGGAGACCCCAGGCTGGGGAGGAGGAGGAGACCCCAGGCTGGGGAGGAGGAAGAGGAGACCCCAGGCTGGGGAGGAGGAAGAGGAGACCCCAGGCTGGGGAGGAGGAGGAAGAGGAGACCCCAGGCTGGGGAGGAGGAGGAGACCCCAGGCTGGGGAGGAGGAAGAGGAGACCCCAGGCTGGGGAGGAGGAGGAGGAGACCCCAGGCTGGGGAGGAGGAAGAGGAGACCCCAGGCTGGGGAGGAGGAAGAGGAGACCCCAGGCTGGGGAGGAGGAGGAGGAGGAAGAGGAGGAGGAGGAGGAGGAGGAGACCCCAGGCTGGGGAGGAGGAGGAGGAGACCCCAGGCTGGGGAGGAGGAGGAGGAGGAAGAGGAGGAGGAGGAGGAAGAGGAGACCCCAGGCTGGGGAGGAGGAGGAAGAGGAGACCCCAGGCTGGGGAGGAGGAGGAGGAGGAGGAGGAGGAGGAGGAGGAGGAGGAAGAGGAGACCCCAGCCCGGGGAGGAGGAGGAGACCCCAGCCCGGGGAGGAGGGAGCCCAGGAAGAGGCCCAGCCCCCCGGCCCTGCTCACAGCCTGGTCTCCGCGCCGGGGGTCGCCTCCGGGCCGCCGTTAGGGTCGTCCAGAGCCACCATGGCCTGCAGCCGCAGTCGCAGCCCGGCCCGAGGCCGCGGAGGAAGTGACGCGCGGGGCGGAGTCTGCGGCGGTCGGGGCGGGGACGGCCCCGGAGCAGCCTGGGCGGTCCGCACGCCCTGCCTCGGTTTCCCCCTCCGCAGACGCCGAGCGGGGTCACCCAGCGGGCTGAGGACGGAGTCCGGGCCGCCCGGGGGGAGAGGGTGGGGCACCGCGGCCGGGAGGCGACTGCGGAGCTGCGACCGGCTCCTGGGGCGGGGGCGCGGGGAGGGGCGCGCGCCCGGGGGACGGCCCGGGGTGACGGGCCCGGCGGGGACCGAGGTCGAGAAGGAAGCCGCCCCCAGCCGGTCTGAGCCAGCCTGGTGGAGAGGGCGGAGGCAGGAGAATCATGAGAGTTCCGGGCCAGCCTGGGCTACAGGATTGGCTTGGGGGGGAGGGCAGGTGCGGCGCACACCTGAGCTCCCAGCACTGGTTAGCAGAGGCAGGAGGATCAGATGTTGAAAGTCCTCAACCAACAGCAAGTCGAGGGCCAGCCTGGGCTGCGGGGAGCGGCGCACGCCTTCGTCCATTAAAAATAAACGACTTTCGTTAGTTAAAAGTCGGCGTCGGCTCCGAGGCTTCGGGTGAAGCGAGGCCTGCGCGCAGGAATCCGGCTCGGGGGACGGGGCGGAGAAGGGGTGCATTCTAGAACCCCCAGCCTGCATCTCGCCCGGCGGGGGATTGTCCGGAATCTCCAGGGCTGCTTCCTGTTTGCTCCCCCGCCTCCTTTGAGCCCCCGCTCAGTGCGGGGCTGACCTCACACATAGGAGGAGGTGCATACACCGCCACCGAGCCGCACCTTCCGTCCCCTCCTTCAGTTCGTTTTACTTTTTCCCTGCTGCATAGTATTCCGGTGGCTTGCCGAGGCTAACGTCTCGGGGCCCCTAGGCAGCCTCTGAGACACACTGAGCAGGGGGTGCCACGGTGTGACTGAGGTCAGTGCCCCACGGCTCCTGCTGACCGTTTCCACGGTGCCCATGCCCACTCCCCCAACAGGAACGGGCCACTGGGGGCCAGTTAGAGGGGGCGCCTCGGGACCATCAGCGTCAGCCAAACGGAACCGAGGGTCCCTCCCCTGTCCCGAAGCCTCATAGGGCTCCCGCCGTCCTGGGGACAAACCCCGGGGACCCTCCCCTGGGGCTTCTGCGGACGGCGGGCCTGGGCCCCTCGCCTGGCCGCAGCTGGCCCCTGCGAGAGAGGGCGGCGACCCCTCCCCTGCGCGGTGCCCAGCGCCCTCCCTCCTCCTCCTCCGGGCTCTGGGGAGGGCGAGCGCGCGCAGGGCTCCGGCGCGGTTCCTGCGCAGGGCGACGGGAAGGCGGGTCCGAGGGGGGGCGCGGGGTATAAGAGTGGCCGCTGCCAGGCGGCTGGCGGAGGAGCCACGTCCCAGCCCCCTGCGCCGCCGGCCGCGGAGCCCCGGGCGCCGGCACCCCGGGAGGGCGGCCCCGAGGAGGAGGAGGAGGAGCGGGGTCCGTCTTCCTCAGTCCCCGCAGTCCCGGGACTCAATCCGCGAAGGCTGCCTGGAGGAGGAGGAGGAGGAGGAGGGCGGCCGGGCATGGCTACCGAGGCGCCCTTGGGTCCCAACACGACCTGGTGGGCTCCGGCCAACGCGTCGGGATGCCCAGGTTGCGGTGCCAACGCCTCGGACGGCCCGGGCGCGGCGCCCAGGCCCCTGGACGCCTGGCTGGTCCCCCTGTTCTTCGCGGCGCTCATGTTGCTGGGGCTGGTCGGGAACTCGCTGGTCATCTACGTCATCTGCCGCCACAAGCACATGCGGACGGTGACCAACTTCTACATCGGTGAGTGCGCGCCTTCCTGGGGTTCCCCCCCCCCGGTGGGCGCAGGGCCCCCCGGACTCCCCGCGCCGTGCGTCCCGCCTCACCCTGTCCTTGGAAGGCTGCTGTCACATCTGGAGAAGTGCTAAGGGGGGGGGGGTGGCGACGAGGCAAGGAGACGTGGCCGCTTCCACAGGTGCCCGTCCTCTGGAAAGAAGGGGAGGTGTGTGGGGGGGGGACGCCCTAACGCAGCCTGGGGCCACCCGCTGTCTAGCTCAGAGATGGGGAAGCTGAGGCCGAAGACACCCGCGGCTGCGGGGAAAGAGCGCAGGGAAGGTGGAGAAGGGCGCCTCGCTTTTCTGGTGGAAAGTGTGCGCGCGTGTGTGTGTGCGCGTGTGTGTGTGTGTGTGTGTGTGTGTGTGTGTGTGTGTGTGTGTGTGTGTGCGCGCGCGCGCGCGTGTGTGTGTGCGTGCGCGCGTGTGTGCGTGTGTGTGTGTGCGCGCGCGTGTGTGCGTGTGTGTGTGTGCGCGCGCGTGTGTGTGTGTGTGTGTGCGTGTGTGCGCGCGCGCGCCGGGGTCGGGGGTCCCTCCAGCCGGGATGGAGAGGCCAGGGGCCCGGGTCGGGAGCTCTGGGTGCCCAACCGCCCGCGTGTCCCCAACCTGTAGCCAACCTGGCGGCCACAGACGTCACTTTCCTGCTCTGCTGCGTCCCCTTCACGGCGCTCCTCTATCCGCTGCCCGCCTGGGTGCTGGGAGACTTCATGTGCAAGTTCGTCAACTACATCCAGCAGGTGCGCCGGCTGGGGTGGGGGGCGAGCCGGGGAGCAGGAAGTAAGGAGCTGGGGAGCAGGAATGGGGTCCGCCGGGGCAGAGTCTGGTGCGGGTGGGGCCGAGAGCTGGGCGTGTGCTCTGGGGGGAGAGAGGCTGGGTCAGGGCGTGGGCAGCACCGGAGCCCGGGGGTGGGTGTAGGCCAGGGTCTGGGGTGCACAGGGTGGGGTCGTGATCAGAAATGAGGCGAGGTCTTTTATTTATTTATTTTAGGTTTCTGAATCAGCGTCTCTGTAGCCCGGGCTGGCCTAGAACTCAGAGACCCGCCTGGCTCTGCCTCCCGAGTGCGGGGGATTACAGGCGTGCGCCCTTTAAATGAATTTTTATTTCACGTGTGTGTGTGGGTGTGCAGTACCTGCAGGGGCCGGGAGGGGGCGTCGTGTCCCCAGAACTGTCACGGGCGGTCGTGAGCCCCATGTGGGTGCCGGGAACCGAACCCGGCCCTCTGCAGGGGCAGCCGGTGTGCTAACCGCCGAGCGGTCTGTCTTGCAGGGCAGGATCAGAGCCTGGTGTGGGCCAGGAGGGGTGGTCAGGCCTGGACACCCCCAGAATGCAGGCGCACCGTGTGGCCGCCGTGCGAAAGGCCTGAGACTGGACAGTTGGCGAGTCTAGGTGTTCGGGAGCCTAACAGACCCCAGTGTCCCCTCCCTCCCGGCCCTCCGGTTTTCAGGTCCCTTCAACCCAGGCTGCTTCTCCCGGAACGTGTTCGTGTACCCCTGAGTGGTCAGATACGTCGTGGCACTGGCGGGGCCCACACTCAGTCCTTGGCTTTCCCAGGTGTCAGTGCAAGCCACGTGCGCCACCCTGACGGCCATGAGCGTGGACCGCTGGTACGTGACTGTCTTCCCGCTGCGCGCCCTGCACCGCCGCACTCCGCGCCTGGCCCTGGCCGTCAGCCTCAGCATCTGGGTGGGTGAGTGCGCTTCGGAGTGGGGACGAGGGCGGGGGCGGGCAGGGGCGCAGACAAGGTCCGGGCCTGGCTTGGCGGGAGGCGGCGGGGTGGCGGGGAGACCCTGGCTCCTGAGTGGGGCGTGTCCCCACTCTCCGGCCACGGTGCGTGTCCTGGGCGGGCGGGTGGCACAGGTTCTGCAGCCGTGTCCGCCCCGGTGCTGGCCCTGCACCGCCTGTCGCAGGGGCCTCGCACCTACTGCAGCGAGGCCTTTCCCAGCCGCGCCCTGGAGCGCGCCTTCGCGCTCTACAACCTGCTGGCTCTGTACCTGCTGCCCTTGCTGGCTACCTGCGCCTGCTACGGGGCCATGCTGCGCCACCTGGGCCGTGCTGCTGTGCGCCCCGCGCCCGCTGACGGCGCCCTGCAGGTGCGGGAGACTCGGGGGGAGGGGGGCATCTGGGGGAGCGGTCGGAGCCTGGTGTGTGTGTGTGTGTGTGTGTGTGTGTGTGTGTGTGTGTGTGTGTGTGTTCGCGCGCGGGCGGGCACCCATGGTGCAGATGGAGCGGCTGCTGGAGGGGATTGGAGTCCGGACTGTATGTGTGGGAGGACCCATGGTGGGGGTGGAGGGACACTAGGGGGCATTTCGGAGCCCCTACTGTGTGTGCATGTGCGTTGGGGGGGACCCGGGGTAGGACGGAGGGGCTGCTGGGGGGAATCGGAGCCTGGGGTATATGTGCGCACGTGGGGGAACCCAGGCGGGGTTGGAGAGGCGGCAGTGGGGGAATCAGAGCCCGGACTGTGTATGCATGTGGTGGGGGTCCCTGGAGGGATCTCGGAGGGGGTCCTGTCCCCTCCCATTGATACCCCTGGGTCACCAGGGACGGCTGCTGGCACAGCGCGCCGGAGCGGTGCGCACCAAGGTCTCGCGGCTGGTGGCCGCTGTGGTCCTGCTCTTCGCCGCCTGCTGGGGCCCGATCCAGCTGTTCCTGGTGCTCCAAGCCCTGGGCCCCGCGGGGGCTTGGCACCCTCGCAGCTACGCCGCCTACGCGCTCAAGATCTGGGCTCACTGCATGTCCTACAGCAACTCGGCGCTCAATCCGCTGCTCTACGCCTTCCTGGGCTCACACTTCAGACAGGCCTTCTGCCGAGTGTGCCCGTGCGGCCCGCGACGACGCCAGCGCCGGCCCCACGGCTCCGCACTCTCGGACCGAGCCCCAACCCACACCGTGCCGCACGGCCTGGCGGGGCGACAGGCCGGCGTCAGGACGCCCGAACCCGGGAACCCTGCTGCGCGCTCGCTGTGCGTCCTGCGTGAACATGCCGCCCCACGCTGAGCTAATCCCTCTGGGACAATCCAGCCGGGGTTCAGTAGTTAAAAGCTTAGTCTGTGTCCCGGGTAACCCGGGTAACCCGTGTAAACCGCCTTCTCTTCTTCGGTTCGGCCCGTGGGCCGTGGTTTTTGCTGTGGTTGTGATACTGCTCTATACTCTACAGCGTTTGAAGATTGATGTCCCCACTTTCCGCATCTACTTCGGGACTTTGTGCTTATTAGGCAAGTGCTGGACCGCTAAGCTAAATACCCAACCTCTTTTTCCTTTCCCCTACCCATTGTAAAACAGGGTCTCACGTAGCCCAGGCTGGCCTCCAACTCTGTGTAGCTGAGGCTGACCCTGATCCTCCGGCCATGACCTTGGGACCTAATCCACCAAGCCCAGCTTTTGTTTTCTATTTTGAGACAAGGTCCTAACATCAGAAAAAAAAAAATAAAGAAAGAATGTAAGATTATGTGTACTTCTTATGATATTTAAATTTGAAAACAAAAATCCAGCACACACCAGTTACCATACACCACGACCGTCACACCACAGAAGGACTGGAGTCCAGGGTCATCCTCAGCTCCACAGTGTTCCAGGACAGCCTGGCTTGATGAGACAGGGTACCAAAAGCAAAAAGCAGGACCCTGTGTGGTGGTGCACACCTTTAACCCCAGCACTCGGGAGGCAGAGGCAGGGAGATCTCAAAATTTGAGGCCAGCCTGGTCTACAGAGTGAGTTCCAGGACAGTCAGGGCTGCACAGAGAAACCCTGTCTCAGGAATATAGATAGATAGATAGATAGATAGATAGATAGATAGATAGATAGATAGAGAGCCCCTCAGCAGTTAAGGGTTCATCCTATTCTTCTAGAGAACCCATGTTCCCTCCCCAGCACCCCCATCAGGTTGCTGACAAAGGCCAGATGTGGGATCCCCTGGGACTGGAGTTAGAAATGGTTGTGGGCCCCCATGTGGGTGCTGGGAATCAAACCTGGCTCCTCTTCGAGAGCAGCCAGTGTTCTTAACCACAGAGGGTTAAGAACACTCGTGGTAGTTAGTTCTGAGAGCTTGTCCCACCCTGTAGCCCTGACAGGCAGGGAAGTCGTCATGTTGGCCTGGAACTGACAGGGACCAAAGGAGAGGGAGTGCACCGCCTGGCTGCACCTCGCTATGGAGGCAGGGTCTCTCTCTGCACCAGAACTTAGTGATCCCTCTAGACTGGCTGGCCTGGAGCCCCCGGGATCCCCCTGCCTCATGTCCAGTGCTGAGCACCCCATCAGGCCTGGGTTTCTACCAGGGTCCCCACACTTGCAAGGCGAGCACACCATCAACTGAGCCATTTCCCAGGAGGAAACAGTCGGAAGAAGGAAGTCATTTTGGCTCTGCCTGGCCCTGGTGGGCTGACCATCACGGAAGGAGGATGAAACGGAGCACACACAGTCGCTCACAGGGTGGCCAGGAAGCAGAAGGAAGCAAGGGACAAGATCTGCCTCACCCCCAGAAACACACTTCCTCCAATCAGGCCCCGGCTTCCAACTTTATCACCTCCAGACAGTCACCACCAAATTACAAATCCGTTCTGAAAGTAATCTATCCCCAGGGTCCGTATCCTGCCACCTGTTGGGAAGGAGGTTTTCGGGTGTGTGTGTGTGTGTGTGTGTGTGTGTGTGTGTGTGTGCGCGCGCGCGCGCGCGTGCACGGGGTGGGGGGCACTACGGGAAAGGTCACAAATCCACATTCAAAAACAGAGGTGCTGGCCCACGCCTTTGGTCCCAGCACTCAGGAGGCAGAAGCAGGCAGGTCTCTATGGGTTCAGGGCCAGCCTGGTCTACAGAGTGAGTTCCAGGACAGGCAGAGCGACACAGGGAAATCCTGTTTTGAAAAACAAACAAAAACAAAAAGAGAAAGGAAGGAAGGAGGGAAGGAAAATGATGTGGCCATGTGCACTGCCCCTTTTAGGAAATTTAACTTCGTGCAGCAGGGGGCTGGAGAGATGGCTCAGTGGTTAAGAGCACTGGATGCTCTTGCACAGGATGCGAGTTCAAGTCCCAACCCTAACTGCCTACAGCTCCCGTTTCCGGGATCTGACCCCTTCACAGGCAAAACATGAACGCGCATGAAATAAGTAAATAATATTTAAAAAACAAAACAAAAAACCAGAGGCAGAAGGGTCATGAGTTCAAAGCCATCACGGGCTACACGTTCACACCTCGTCTGCACAGAAAATCTGTGTAGGAGAAAATGACTTCAGGCCTCAGTTTCTCCAAACCTCACTTGGGGGACTGCTTTTTAGGTGCAATGGCACCACCTGGCGGCCACTCACGGCCATGCTGCGCTCTACCTGGACGCAGTTCCTCTGGTGCCCTGCAGGGGGCGCGCACGCCTCACGGAACCAGTCTGATGGGTTCAGGACCCCAGGGATGTATCCTGCTGGTCCTAGGAAGTCGGTCCTTATGCTCGCCACCTGGACCCTCGGCTAGATACCCTTGCCATAAATGGAAACAGCAGATTGTGGCATTTGTCTTTAAAGAGGCTATTAAAGAAGTACTAAGGACGGTGTCCTAGGGGCCGCGAACAGGGCTAAGGAGCGGCCTCCTGAGCTGGATACCCAGGATCACACAAGGTGGAGGGAGAGAACAGACTCCACTCAGTTGTCCTCTGACCTCCTCTCCCCATCCGCGCACAGACACCCAGACACAACACACAAATAAATAAAAAGTAATTTAAAAATATTATTTTGCCAGGCGTGGTAGCACATGCTTTTTCATCCCAGCACTCATGGAGGCGCAGGCAGGCAGGGCTCCGTGAGTTCAAGCCCAGTGTGTCTACACAGCCAGCTAGGGCTGCGCATGTAGTGCGTGGTTAGACTCGGGGGGCGCGCGCGCGCACACACACACACACACACGTCACACACACATATGTCACACACACACTCACAATGTCACACACACACATATGTCACACACACGTCACACACACTCACACTCTCACACACACACTCACACACACGTCACACACACATATGTCACACACACACGTCACACACACTCACAATGTCACACACACACATATGTCACACACACACACGTCACACACACATATGTCACACACACGTCACACACACATATGTCACACACACACTCACAATGTCACACACACATATGTCACACACACACACGTCACACACACTCACACTCTCACACACACACACACACACACACACACACAAAGTAGCGGATGTAATTTTGGCTGCGTTCATTAGCTAGGCACTAGGGTCAGGGTTGTCCAAACTGACAGGGGACCCACGAGATGTTCAGAGTTAGGATCAGTGTGCTCATCGCACAGGTTGAGAGAGAAATATCTGCAAGCCGGTGGGTGTGATGCTGGAGGAGGACCGGGGCGCGCGTGCAGGCCCAGCCCCACCCCGGGGCCACGCCCTAACAGGTCAAGGTGTCCGCGGGTTTGAAGGTGAAGTTTGCCACCTGCATCCCTGCGCCTCGAGGGCCCAGGTTCCGAGCACCTGCTGCACTCTCGGGTTCTAGGCCGGACTCCGGGGGACTGGTCCAGACTCGCCCCCTCCCTCCAAGTGACTTTTGAGGGGCAGGCTGCTCGGGAGCCCCGCAACAGTCCAGCCAGGGACCCGAGCACCACCCGTGGGGAGCTTGCAGGAGTGGAGGGCCGCCCTGAGCACGGGCGTGACCCACTAGGGTCGCCTCAGCTCTCAGCTGAGCTCACAGCGTGCCTCAGTTTCCCATCCCGCAGAATGCGGGCCTCAGAAGCCTGCACTCCGCCGAGATGCACAGGGCGGGTCCCAGCAGGCGCTTCACTGAGATGTGAAAGGCTGGACCTCCTGCCCCTCGCTCCTAGGCGGGGTCGTCACGGTTCCTCGCATTTCCTCGAACGCGCGCGCAGCCCAACTCCGTGCTTTTGCGCACGCAGCGCACCCCCCCCCCCCCCGCAACGTCCGCAGCCCGGCCCCCCCCAGCGTCCCCGCCCCCGCAGCTCAGGCCTCTCCCGGGTTTTTAATCCCATTTCTGAGACGTGGAGCCCCACGCTGGAGAGGTTTGGGTAACGTAGTGGGCAGGAGGTCCAGCTCCGAGCTCGGCTGATCCATCTCCCGTTCCGGGTGAGACCGGGACACGACCGCGGACCCAGGGGGCTTCCGCGCAGGGGCGGGATGGAGAGCCTCGGTCACTCTTCTGGACGCCCCTCGGTGGGGCGCTCGCAGACCCGCCCTCCCGCTCGCGGCCTCTGCGCCTCGAGCTGCGCCGTGCACTTTGCGCACAGTCCCTAAGCTAGGGGCGGGGCAGCCCTCGGTTCGGTTCCCCCTTCCTTTTATTATTTATTATCATTTAAAGGGGCCGCGACCTGAAAATTTCCGTCCACTCGGCCGCGGCTTTCCAGCTCCCCTCCACCTCCTCCCACCGTGGACGTCCTCGGATTGAGTTGGAGAGGGGGGCACCCCAGGGAGGTGTCCTGGGAAAGCTCGGAAAGGGGAACCGTGGAGAGACACCCACCACCTCCTCCTGCGTCCCCGGGGCTGCTGAATCACCGGCGAGGTATTTGCATCTGAGAGCAATTTGTCACACGGCGATTCGTCTGCCGGGTGGGGGAGGGGCGGGGCGGGGGGGCCGGTCGCGCGCGGAGACCTCATCCCTATCCGATCCGGACGGATGGAGGTGTAGACGCGGCCTGGAGACTCGGTGAGGCGGGTGACCCCGGAGCCAGGAGCGCGCACCGGGCACCAGGGGGAGGCCAAGTGGGCGAGAGGCCACCGGAGGCCACCACCGGGTTGGACTCTGGGCTGGACTCCGGGCACCCGGGCATGCGCCCCCCGGGCCACCCCGAGCGGTGGGGAAGGCCCTTTGCAGCGCGGCTCCAGCCATCTCCCCTAGGGGTGCCAGCGTAGGGCACCCTGGAAACCGACAATTGCGGGGTCCCCGAAGTTAGGCAGAGACGCGCGTGGTGGGGGGGGTGTAGGGCTGGGTAGGTGACTCGACCGGATCAGGCTTGGGACGGCTGTCGCGGCCGTAGACCTTGGAGACCTTCATCCGGTACGCGAGTGTTCAGGCGCGCAGGGGTCGCGAGTGCGCGCGGTCCCCTGGCGGAAGGAAACGACCCGGGGTGTGTG